GTGTGTGTGTTCTTTATTTTTCCCGCCTAGTTATTCGTGAGTCACACTTTTTACGAATGATAGTATAAAGAAAGGAGTGTTTGCGCGCGGGTGCGCTCTAAGGCTATTGAACGTTTGAAACTCTGAATACAGAATCAGATGGTTCTTGTTAATGAGCATGAAAGCAGGTTTTAAAATCTTTTATATCGACAAAGAATGATTGTCCCTCTTGATTATTGTTGATGCTATAGTTCTCTATAATCATTATTGACTACTATTTTTTGGTGTAATAATACCTAGATATGCACATCTGCCTTCTTGTAAATCTTCCAAAGTTGCTTTCAAGTAGCTGGAGAACTATTCTTCCTCTTGTTGCCGTAATAAATCTTTAGAGAGTGCATTTCCTTTTCAATGAAATTGTCGTACATAGGATAAATAGAAACTATGCTGACCCCAAGCCCTTCAAGAAAGCTCGCTCCTACTTTGCGCACGTTATCAGGAGAATGAAAATAATCCTTCAGGGAACTGATATTGTGTTAGATTTTGAGAGATAAGGTAAAAAGCACCCAGTCACTTAGGGGACTGCCCAAACGAAGCGGGGGGGGGGGCGATATTCGAAGCTAGTCTTCCTTCATTTTGAAGAAAGTCAAAGAAAAATTGTTGTCAGTTATCTATAACCAGTCTGTGCGTTAAGAAGGAAAGGTTTTGTAATTGTTTTGAATGTTGGTAGAAAGAGTTGGCTTCGTAGGAATGTATTGACTCTCTATCTTATGCAAAAAATCACACACCAAAGTCAGTTCATTATCGCACAAAAATCAGAGCAGTAATCTTAGAATTTAATCAATATTAGGCAATTCTTTTGAAATTTTAAATAAAAAAGTAAGGATTATTCAAAGGCTAAGAATATAACCTTTTTGTACAAAAGATGAAAAAAAGTTAAGAAGCCCCAATATGTTGTCCTTACTCGCAAAAGAAACAATTATAAATAAGAATAATATAATCCTTTTATATAAACAAGTTTACCGAGATACATGAAGCTCCTCGACAACTTAAATATGTTTGTTGTCATAATATTTTGTATTTGATATCAGCTTATTGTTTGCATTTTACTGTCAAGTATTCTAAAAATTCAAAGCATTTTCTCTTTTTTACTAATGAAAACCATTTATTAATGTTGGAAAAATTGTAATTTGAAATTTCTTATGTACATTTAAAGAATTTATTTTTAGGAACACGAGGCAAATTGATAAATTATTATTTCATTTCTGAGTTCTATTAGGGTCAAAGTAATAAGACGGACCTTGTAATTTAAATGACGATCAAGTAACGAGAACAAGAGCGGAGCTAGACCCCCCACTTCTTATTTCCACCTTCTTATTTCCACTGCGTATCAGCTCTGCTACACAATGGAACCTCTAATCGTGACCATTTTTCAATAAAAACATGTAGAGACTACAATGTCGCACAATTCAACAAGGGTCAACATTTATAGGCTTAGAATATTCACATTTTATAGCATAATGTGAAACACCTAACTGCTATACATCTCATTTATTTGCCACAGTAAATGTTTTATAATAATTTTCAGCTTATATAAAAAGAATTAGATCAAATTAAAATAAGATTTTAGCTTTGAATAAGGCTTGTTAATAAAATGTAGATTTAATCTTGAGATTCGTTGAGTACTCTGAATTCTAATGTATCACAATATAATGGATTATAGAAAAATAGAAAATGACAATTATACATCAAATGTATCATTCCTTTATGGAAGATATATACAAAATTTCATAAGAGGATTTAAATTTTTAAGATTTTTGTGGCATGTTCTAAAAAAGAAAACAATCATAAATTGAGTAACAATTAAGTTTCCAAAAAAAGCATAGTTTATTTATGACAATATGTTTATTGACATGCAGATGCTGTGAATACTTGTAAGAGCTTTTACACTTCATTATCGATTTGAGAAAGTATGAACTTTACATTATAGCATAGAGACAGGATCAGCAATTTTGCTTTTTATTTTATTTTGTGTTTTTGATTATAATTATGTGCAATTTATGATGAATCATATTATTTACTTCTTATTTCTAATTTGATTATTTTAAGTTTTAACACCAGGTGTGTACCAAATTCCTGCATTTAAATGAATTAAAAATAAATTTAAAACATTTTATAACTATTTTAATAAATTTACTGAAAATCAAAATATAAATAATTTTTTCTTAAATAAAATTAAATTTGGATTATTTTATTGAAGTAAACTTCGCTGGAAGCGCCGTCTTTAAGGGCATTTTTCTCACAAAAACCGCCGTCTCCAAAAGGTTAAAGGTGAAACCTGACTTATAGTAGGGCAGCCCTAATATTCTCCATTATGCCACTAGTAATACTATATCATAGATCTGAATAATTTTTTAACAGTATTTATATTTGTTTTTATTATAATTGTTAAACCTATGTTATTGGTTATTTTATAATATAAAGAAAGCGACACATTTTATGAATTAAAAGTACTAGAAAATTGCCCTGAGGACAACTATTTACCTTGGAGCAATAGACTAAATTCATGTGACGTCTTAGTCACATGATAACTCAGTTGCGTGTTTTCAGCCAATCAGTTCATAAATTAATTCAACATCATAATTATATCATAAATATAATCATGCATTTCCAGCCAATTAGTTCATGTTCTTCACTGTTGCAAACTTTTGCTTTTTGCAGAAACTTTCTTTTAAAAAGTAAATATTTGTCAACAATATAGTAACATACATAGCTGAACAAAATGCTTTTAATTTAAAGGTATTTGTATAATGTAAAGTTTTTTTATAAAAATTTTGAAAACTGTTTGAAGAATTTTAGCATGTTAACTCTTAACCCAATCATCAAATTTTAAATGTTATCTAAACTTTACAAGTTGAGTAACTAGTATGTCAGTTTTTAATCAATGGAAAACACATGATTGCCGTTATCATGCGACCATCATGAATTTAGTCCATTGTATTTTCTTTCTTTCCATCTTCCATATATGCAAAAATTGCTTCAAAAAGATAAATATCTATTTTTTATTTAACTAACTATTTCAGTGATCTAAAAAATTTATCATTTTGATTTTCGTAGCAGGCCTCGGATTTTACCTTTATATACATATTTTTGTTTTTAGAATGTACAAAATCTTTCCATTTTATACAAAATTTCTTGGATCTTTAAAATCAAAAAAGTAAAATTTTAAGAATTTATTTAAGTTGCACATAACAGTTGTTGTATTAAAATTTTAGCTATAAAAACTTCATATATATATTGTTAACCAAATGACTTTTACCATTTTTTTCTTAAAGGTGATAAAATGAGCCTAATCATAACATACTAACTCATGCCTGATTACAGCGACTGAACATCTTCAAATTTATGTGTATTGTACAACACTAGATCTGATTCTTCTTTGATAGAACAGCTATGTTTCTGCCAACTCAGCATCCATACTTAAAGAATATCTTATGGATTGGTTTAAATGGGTAAGTTTTGTTGTTCTTGAAAACTTCTCGAAATTTATTTGACTAATTCCTTAACTGCCAAAGAAAAGTTGTGGGATTCACTCCCTAGTGCCTCCATTTTTCAAACAGGCATATATAGTTTATATAGTGTTTTTACAGAACAGAAGAAGCATAAATAAGTAAATCCTTCTCAAACATTTTGTCAAAGTCTTTCTTTTGCATTCTAAAGCCTTTGGAATAGTTTTAGAAATACCAGCGCTATACAAAAGTTCATAATTCAGAAAAGCATATATATATGTGCCAGGAGCAGTTAAAGCATTGTCTTAATGCATTGTATATATATATGTCTGTGGCAGTTAAGGGGTTAAAAAGTGTTTGTTGTTTTTTTAAAGTTTGTATTTATGAAACAGATCACACATATTAAGAATTCCAACTATACCATTATTTAGATTTTTAAGTAATTTCTTCAGGAGACAATGAATACTGAAATTCTTCGAAATACTGAAATCAAATCCTGATATAAGATTCAAATACTTTTTTAACAAATTCAAATTTATGTAAGATTTTCTATCTTCCATAAACACAAGTGACATGCCTCTGCACCTGTAGTATTTCTAGAAATATTTGTTCCTCCACTTTCCTCTTTATTTCTCTATCTAGATTATGTATGCATTTGTAATTATTATTTATATGAAAACATACAATTACTCTTAAATTATCAAATGATTGGCACAGCTTAAACAAATGATTTTTTGAGTCTCATAGGCAATTTCAATAAGCAAACTTTAAAAAAAATTTCTGACATTTTCTAAGGAATTTTTTCCAGCAGTGAGCTTTAGGTTTTCAAAAAGAAAATCATTGAATTTCTTGACTTTAATTTGACAAAACCTCAAATCCATATAAAATATTTTTTAATTAAAAACTTGTAAAATGCATCAATATAATACTTGTGAAAAAAATTTAGATACAACATAAAAATTATAACTGAAGAAGAAAATTTACAAAAAAAATAAGCTTTCTTTATTTATTTCAGATTATTTTTCCATAACTATACAATTTTTCCATAATGTTTAATAATCTAAATCATAAGTTTTTAACTAAGAATAAAGGATTTTTAAATGTAAAAAACCATTGAAGCAGGGGTTTTTTTTTGCATTAGTCATTTTAATTTTAACAAAAGGAATAAATTTACTTACCAGCGCAACAGAATTAAATTAGATCAAGTATTTGTGTTATGTAAGTCTACTGAAAACAAGTGATATAAAAAAAACTATTTTAAGTCAATTCTTACTTAGGTCAACAAAAAAAAATTATTTTAGTTACTTTTTATCAGATAGTTACAGTTAATATAAATATGTATTTACATACGACAGAATCACACTATTAAGTGACAAAATAGAAAGCGATTTTCCTTTCTATCTATGGTGATGGACTATTTTTTTTTTCTGTTACTATTTATTCACTAATTAAATTTAAATATTCTTATAAAATAGTATAGTAGAAAAGAAATCACATTCTTAGAAATTAGGCTATTCCAGGTGGGATTCAAACCCACGATCTTTGGATTAGATGTCCAATGTGCTATCCATCGCTCTACAGGGACGCATCGAACAATTTTAATTTCTATACATGCTGTTGGGACTATCACTCTCTATGATGTGCAATAGTTTGATGTGAAAGAAACAATCGCAAGTATTACCGGTTGTTGCCGCCTGCATAATACTGATTGTATTTTCTATAATGGAGAAAATATAACATTGCTCTTGCACCAGTAAACCCAGTCATATAAACAATAAGCAACTTGGACCAAAAGTATTAGTTTTGTTTTGAAATGGATATATCACAGATTCAAATGATTTGCTAATAATAAATTTGCTTACCTTTTAAAAAACTTCTCTGTTAAATTGAAAAATTAATAAGCTATAAGTTACAGGGAATCATGCATGAATATAAATTATAATTAGTATAAAACACACTAGTAACCAAACTATTTGTTAGGGTGTGAGAATCATCAAAAGATGTTTTAAATAAATAATACAATGATAGTAATTTTTTTTAGCAAATATTGCTTCCTCACTTATAATTAATGTGCAAATTTGGTTATTGCTCATAAATCTGCATAAAATTTTTAGAAACAATTTTATAAAAATATTTACTTGTTTGTTTATGAAATTGTAAATGTATTTAAAGAGTGTGTCAGAGTTGTTAATTGTCTTTTAAAAGCTAAAATGTGAATAATTTTCCTTCTAAGTATCGCAGATTGCGATTTAAAAGCGATTGCTAGTGTACTTTTTTCAGATTCACCATGACATTTAGATAAAAATCGCCAAATCCTGAGAGGATCTTGGTTTTATCTATTTTTTAAAAAATTGATTTATAAAGTATTTCAGACGACTATCGATAATTTGTTTACCTATTATAGTGAAAAAAAATAATAAATTTTAAAAAAATTACCTTTATTTCAAAAAATTTGCATAAAACGTGCCTGCAAAAAATATTAGGAGTAGTGTTGAGTTGTAAGTTTTTCTCTGGTTCTTTTCAAAGCTTGAAATACACTCGTGTGCAAAACTTAAGCAACAATGCAAAAATTTAGCAGATAGCCATGAAATTGCAGAAAAGGAGGTCTGGAGATCAGTAGAGGGAACACGTAAGTCAGTAGAAACGTCATGCGTATGCAAATATCAGGAACAAAACGTCAGAAGCGATGTGAGCGTACGCAAAACGCGTGATGTCGGCGCGCGCTGCTCAACAGTAGAATGAAATGAAGGACGGAGACGCAATTCACCATATTCTCTGCAAGTGCCAGTGAGTCAGTTCGTGAAATATGGCTAGAAGAAATCACCTGGACGACTTCACACGTGGAAGAATGATCGGAAAGCTGGAGGAGGGGCGTACTGTCACCAGTGTAGCCTGCAGAGTTCGGAATCAACAAAAGTGTCGTTTCGCGCGCTTGGAAAGCGTTCCAAACCACAGGTACAGCTGTTAGAAAGGTTGGTGTGGCCGCCCGAGGACGACAACTGCAGTGGATGACCGATATATCATCCTGCAGGCGAAAAAATATCGACAGAAGTCAGCCAGCGCCATTGTTCAGAAACTCTGTACAGCAACAGGTCGACAAGAGAAGCGGTTTACTGTGGCCAGACGCCTTCACAAAGGGCGCCTGTTCGCCCGCCGTCCTGAACGCTGCCTCCCGTTGAAAGATGGCCACCGTTTACAGTGGGCCAGAGAGCACAAAAACTGGACAACTGATCAATGGAGTCGTGTCCTCTTTACGGATGAGAGTCGGTTCAGTACCAGAAGCGATTCTCAACGCGTTTTGATTTGGAGAGAGATCGGGACCCGGTTTTATCCCAGTAACATCAAGGAAAGACATCGTTACGGTGGTCCTGGAGTTCTTGTCTGGGTTGGTATTATGCTGAACGGTGGAACTGAGCTTCACTTTTTCGACAGAGGGTCTGTAACCGGGGATCGCTATTATGAGGAGGTACTTCTTCCCCATGTGCATCTTTTCTGAGGTGCCATTGGCCCAGACTTCATTTTTATGGATGACAATGCACGGCCACATCGCACTCTTGCTGTTGAGGAGCTGCTGGAAAGTGAAGATATCACTCGAATGGATTGGCCAGCGTGCTCCCCAAATTTAAATCCCATCGAACATGTGTGGGATGCTTTGGGGAGACGTATTGCCACACGCTTACATCATCCGGAGAACAACCAACAACTCAAGCAGATGTTGATTGAGGAATGGGCACTCCTACCTCAAGAAATGTTGCACCAGCTGGTTCTGAGTATGCGGAGACGGTGCAAAGCAACCATTGTAGTAAGGGGAGGGCATATACCATATTAAGGAACATCTGCTTGTTGTTCTTCCTGTTGGATAGAAAATCATGAGTCACGATACTATGCGTTCAATAAAGCTTGTTTTTGTTTGATTCCATACCGTATGCGTTTTATTCCTTTTTCAGCGCCGATGCTTTCGTCATCCTTTACGTACATAATACTCTCCCTCATTTCAGAATTTCATGTCTCTCAGATGATTTTTCGTGAAGTTATGGCAATAAACCCACCTGTTGCTTAAGTTTTGCACACCAGTGTATTAAGCGGAGCTGAAAGTAATATTCTTTTTGCTTATGTCGAACGCATTAGACGATTGTAAATGCAAAAAGTGTTTTTTTTTTTTAGTTCAAATTGAGTAATTTCGATCCTTCTGACTCGCGTACTTATCAGAAAGATCAACTTTAGACAATGACATGTTAAGGGTGAAAGAGGAAGCAAATTCATGTCAAGCTATCAAAGAACTGCCAAACGCTGTCAAACATTTGTAGTAGATTGGTAAAATAAGCAAAGATGGTGTTAGGATCCCGCAAAATCTGTCCGAAGAAAACAAAGCAAACCAATCCATTACAAGCAAATAAATAGTTCAGCGGCAAAATATATAAATATTATTTGCTCGCTTGAACACTGGAGATGAAAAACAGGTCGCCAATGATAATCCAAAACGCAAAAGGCAGTGGTTCACTTCTGAAAAAGGTGCTTTTGTGTGTTTGGTGGAGTATTCGGGCTGTCATTCGTTTTGAAATGCTGAAACCTGGACAAACTGTGAATGATTGGATCAGTGAATGATTGGATTTGCGCAAAACAAACCCTGGAAAAAATTAAAGAATCGGGATTGAATTTACTGCCGCTCTCACCGTGCTTGCCCGATGTTGCTCCATTGGATTGATGATGGATTTGCATTTATTCTGATCGCTACAACATTTTATAAGCAGAAAAAAATTCAGATGAGGCCCAAAGTATTATCTTCAGGTCTTTTGCTCAAAAGCCAATTTATTTTTATCCATCCAGCATCAAAAATTTGTCCACTAGATGGCAAAAGGTTACTGATAACGACGGGGATTACATAATTGATTAAAAACAAGACTTGTTCAAAATTCATCTGTTTGAATTTAATGTAGAAAAATGGCATTACTTTCCAATCCCCCTAATATTTTGTAAAATTTACTAAACAAAAATCGAAAATGCGAGTTCTGTCCTAAAAGTAATGTCATTTTTATTCTAACACGACTGTATGCCAAGCGCTTTATTCTGCTGGAATTTGGTGAATGTGGTTTAATCGGCATCGAAGATAGGCCTTTCTTAGTCTCCGAGCTCTCAGGGGGCAAGGATGGGTGTTTTTGTGAAACTCTGTATCCTAATTTGAACAAGAGCTTTTGGGAATGAGTGAAAATGATCTCTTCACATGTTTGATAATGTTATCACGAGTGCCGAAAAGTGAATTTTTGAGTACGACCTTGAGTCGAAGAGGCAATGTGCTGAGTTGCAATTTTTGTTTTTCACATTAAGGTGATCGTCCACCTTGAGTTTGTAGCTGCTGGGATCGCCATCAACCATAAATTTTACATCCACTAGAACAGGGGTGGCGAACCTTTATGGATCAACGTGCCATTTTTTTCTAAAGAAATGTTCAATGAGATATAGGCGTGCCTTCAAATAATTTTGACTTGTAATTATTGGAAAAATAATAAAACTAAATACTAACAACTCTCAAAACTATTTATTAACTATGAAAAAATACATTTTGCATTGTACAGTAATAAATGTTTAAGTAACATTAGTGACTTCTGTTGTTGCAGATTAGATGACAAATAACTTATATTAGGATTGTAAGATGTTACTTTTGGCGAAAAGCACACTGAATTGGAGTCATCTGCCAAAAGGTTTCCAAGGGAGTCTTTAATGTTATTCATCTCTGAAAATAATGACTCACAAGCATAGGTAGATGAAAATATGGTTAAAATGGCGTGAGCCAGCTTTTTCAAATAGTTAAATGCGTCTGGAATCAAATCTCCGGCACTCCGCGACCGATCACTCGCGTTTGTCCGTAATACTTCATAGTGAACTTTGTTATTTTGAACGGCCGAGTGCCCAAAATATCGTGTTGAGTGTCATCGGTTCGCCATCCCTGCTCTTGAAAGTTCTGAAAAAAATTGAGAACATGGCTCCTGCGCCATGGAAACGCTTTAGCCCAAACCTCTTTCCTGGTTCAACTGGCCAAATGTAACGTGCCCCGGCCACCGTTAAGTTCCGATGTGACTCTCTGAAACTTCCTTTGGTTTCCCCACTTTAGATCTCCGTTGACAGGACATATTTCTACAATTGACGACCTATGCTTTAAAAGCAGTTTTTGAGCTGCCCTCCCAGAACGTCTTCGTTGCTTGTAAATCGCGCTGACAAAATGTATCGAGGTAGGCTATTTCGAGAGATACTAATGTATTATACAAATCTGAGCTCAATAATGTTTTTAATCGACTTTGTGATATTACTTTCCTACCAAAAATTGTATGCGAGTGGGGTATTTTTGACCATCTGAACGCTGATCTCACTGGAACATATTTTGGTATTTAGCTCCACAGAATTGTTATTATGACTGCTTGAAGTATAGAAAAACATGTAAAATTTTATTGTAAAGTTTTAACTGTGATTGAAAATAATAAAGATGAAAACGTAATTTTATTTGATATTTTGAGGCCCTTACTGTTGAGGAAAAATTATGCGATTCGCTCGGCCACCGTTTTTCACATAGTTAGGCGATGTATTGAGGGA